ACACGCTGCCCTCCTCGTCCCCGCAGAGCACGACGCCCTCCCCTGCCGAGGCCGAGACGGGGAGCATGAGGGCCGGCCCCCAGGGCGCAGGGGGCGCGAGGGCGGCGCGGGCTTACCGGGGCAGGCGCTCAGCGAGAAGTAGGCCAGCTCGGTGGGGGACCACTGCAGCCGAGCCAGGACGGCCACCGCCACGGTGGCCTGGCCGCCCCGGCCCCCCCACGTCCGGCTCCAGCTCCACAGGCAGATGGTGCCCCGGCCGCTCCCCTTGGAGGCTGCGGGGAGAACGCACACGGCCGCGGCTGGCCCTCCTCACCACCGCGGGAGGCCAGCCCGGGGACAAGGGACGCGTCTGGTGCCAGGAGCCAAGCAGCCCCGGGCCGGGCTCACTCACCCACTACGTCCTTGTTCACGAACGCCAACCCATCCACTCTCCGTCCAGATGCCTCGGAGCCCTCCGAGAAGACAAACTCCACCTCACACACCCTGTGGGGCAGCGGAAGATGTCGGTCAGCTACTCCCCACACACAGAAGAGCTGCTTGTCCACTTGCATACCTGCTGGGCACCTGCTCTGGGCCCTGCCCTGTGTGGAGGCTGAAAGGTGTGACCAGAAGATACACTCTTGGCCCCGGGAGGCTCAGCTTTGTCCTGGAAGGGGAAGCTGGCACCTGCATGTCCCGAGTCACAGCACTGGGAACCCAGGATAGGAGGGGCTGGTTCTTGCAGAAGGGGGTGGCTGGTGTGGTCAGGGAAGGCTCTGGAGTGAGCTGGAGTCTTGGGGACTGAGTGTGAGATGAGCACGGCCCCCAGGCTGTGTCCTGGGGACTGGGGGTGGTTCTAGCCCCGAGGACAGTGAGGAGTGGCTGCTGAGTTTTCCAAGCTGAGAGTGTGTGATGTCACATCTGTGCTGGGAAAGGTCGCCTGGCAGCTGCCAGAGTCTGGGAGAGGCTGGAGCCAGAAATGCAGCCAGCCCAGCATCTATCTATGGGATAAGGCAGCAGAGAGGGGACGAGGAGAAGCAGACATGTCTGAGGCAGGGGGAAGAACCCACAGGACTTGGGGACCAGGCAGCCACGCTGGGAAAGGAGGGCGGGGATGGCCCAGGGCAGCCGGATGAGAAAAGGAGCCTATGGCCACCACCACTTGGCAGGACACTGCCAGTCGGTCCCTGCCGGGGCCTCTGCTGCACTCCACACAGCAGCTGCTCTACTGCCACTCTCCTGAAGACTCCCGAGCTGGTCATCGTACCTAGGAGAAAAATCAGTCTCGCCATGGCCAGCACAGCCCAGGCAACCATGCCACCTCGCTCCGGGCCAGTTCCACCCATTCTGCCAAGCTGTGACCAAACGTCCCGGCTGACTCTGCCCACCCTGGCCCTTTGCACATGTCATTCCCTCTGTGCCAGCACTTGCCCTCCCTCTGGCTGCCTGGCCGGCTCCCCCGCAGGGCTCCCATGGAGGACAGTGGCATGAACCTATCCATCCATCACTGGTCACCTCAACGCTGTCCTCTTGGCCCCCAATCTAAAGTGGGCCCCCGTCCTTTTTCTCTTTCCTCTGTAGCCAGCATCACCCTTGGTGGGTCTCCCCCACTAGCCTGGGGGCCCCGTGAGGGTGGGGTCCACATGCCAAGTACGGTCTTGAGCCTTCCAGGTGGCACTCCCAGAGCCTGCTCCCTGCCCAGACGCTGCCTCGTTTGCCTCCGCTGGCATCGTCCCCCCTTTACAGACAAGGATGACACGCCAGGATGGAGGAAGGCACTGACATGTGGCCTGCAACGGTGAGGTGATCAGGGCCCAGGCCTGCAGCAGAATGGACGCCAGGGGGCGCGAGGGCGGCTGGGGCCTCTCCTGGAGAGCCTAGCAGGAGGCAGGGCCAGCCAGCTCTGAAGAGGGCCCTGAAGATGGCTCCTGGGCTGTCCAGGGCAGAAGCGTGACGTGCCCAGGTGCACGTGAGCTCGTCTAGGCTGACGGGAGCCCAGCAGAGGCCTGATCCTCGCCCCCGTCCGGCGCCCAGGCCTCACCTCCTCTTCTGGGGCTGGTCCAGCCGCACGTCCCAGCAGCAGCAGCCCCCCTCACAGCCAGCCAGCAGGGAGGCATCTGGGCAGGAGGCAACGGGGCAGAGGCGCAGGGGGATGGAGGTGCAGTCGAGCACGAGCAGCTGGCTGCCGGCAGGCAAGCAGGAGAGCGTGAGCCCGGGACCCAGCGGCCGCCCTCGCCACGCCTCCCCGGCCCCACCCAGAGCGTCACCTGGCCTGGAACTCATAGTCCTGGTTGGGCATCCCGATGTCCCAGAGGGCGATCCGCTTGTCATAGGAGGCCGCTGGGGAGGGGCGGGGAAGGGGGAGGCGGCCCTGAGGAGGCTCTGGTCCTCCTCCAGGCTGTGTCCACCCCAAGGCCAGCCCCTCCAAGGCAGGGGCGGGTCACGGTGAGGAGGCAGGAAGACTCCTTGCCTACAGTCCCTGGCCTCTTGCTCTAACCTACAGCTCCTGGCACTGGCAGCCATCTTTCTGCAGCCTACACATCACCCTTGCTGCGTGCAGCATGCCCAGGGGGCCAGAAGTATCCACCCAGGTCCCTGACGGGGAGAGAGTGGCCCAGGTTGCTGGAAAACTCCAAGGTCACAGAGCAGGCTGTGGGTAACGCCAGAATTCCAGGCCCAGCCAGCTGACCATAAAGCCACGTCGCTTCCTACCAAAGCCAGACCAAACGGAGAGGCCTAGACCAGGGCCTGGCAGCTACTAGAGCTCCCTGTCACCCCAGGGAGGGGCGCACCGAGGCTGTCGGGGAAGCCGGACAGGATGCTGGGGTGACCAAGGCCGAGGGGGAGGGTCTTACTGAAAAGGTGGGTCTCACGGGCGGGGCTGAAGCACAGGGTAGCGATGGCCTTCTTGTGCGCCCGGATGACCCCGCAGCAGAAGCCAGCACGCACGTGCAGCAGCCGGACCTGGCCCCGCAGGCCTGCGGCCGCCAGCACACTCCAGCGCTTCTTGTGGCCTGCCTGTGTGACCACCATCAGGGCTGTCCAGGCCACTGAGAAGAACTCCTGGGGGCATGGGGCAGAGCAAGTGGCCGCTGGGTCAGAGTCACAGGTGTGAACAAGGAGCGAGGCCCAGCATAAAAGGGAAGGCCATGTGGAGTAGGGGGTCATGCCTGCACCCCCATCCTGTGCCTGGGAGCCCCATGGGACCAAGGGCCTGGCACTCACCTCGCCGGGGGCCTTGTACTTGTGCAGCACGATGCCCGTCTGGCAGTCGATCACGCAGACAGCCTCTCCGCCACATGTGGCCACGGTCTGGGATGTGGCCCCTGAGGGCCCGGTTTTGAGGGGGTCAGCTGAGCAGAAGCATCTTTTGTCGGGCTCCTCCCTGCAGCCCCTCCTCCTGACCTTCAAGGAGCCTTTGAAGCTCTGTCTCTCCCTATCCATTCGGGTGGCCCGTTTTCTGCAGCCCTCACCCCTCCCGAGGCCCTGCCCACCCCCTGAGATGTACCCTCCTCCGAGGCCGGCTCAAAGGCGCAGGCCCACAGCTGGGTCTCGAGGTCGTGAGGGCTGTTGTTCTTGCTGTGGCACTGCAGGAAGTACAGGGGCTCCAGCTTCAGGGCGGGCTGTGGGGGCAGATGAGGGTCATGGCTGCCCAGCCACGGCACACCCGCCACACTCTCTGCCACCCCGTTGGCTTACCTGGCTGCCATCGGAACCCTTGGAGCTGCCCTCCGTCTGGGCCGATGGAGAGGCGCACACCCGCTTGTTGGGAGAGAGGTTGAGTGGGACACAAGCCGGCCGTTTCAAGGCCGCGAGCCTGGCCTGTTGGGGGCCTTGTGACTGTGGGCCCACCTGCCGGGACTTCCCTCCTCCCCGCCTTCCCACGGGTGGGGGAGGCCAGTGCCGGCCGGGGCCATGAAGGGCTCATTTCCAGGATGCCCGGCAGGCGGGCCAAGGCAGGCCTCGGAGCCCTGGGAGCCATACTAACCCTGGGCTTGCAGGCAGCTGAAGCTTCTGGGGGCCTCTCTAGGTTGCCTGCCTCTGGCACTTGGGTCCCACCGGAGGATACCAGCTCCTCAGAGATCATCCGTACCTGGGTGAAACCAGGCCGTCAGGAAGCTGGGCACAGTCCTGGGTGCCCCGACCCGCTCCCCAGAGATCTGGTCAAAGGGAGGCTTGTGCTTACTGAGTTGGGAAAGGGCCAGGGACCTCCAGGGCAGCTGAGGGCCATGAGAACCAGCGAAGGGTCAGGGAGCCAACCCTCAGCCCAATGGGACGAGGACATACCCGCCACTGGGTAAACTCGCTGAGGGACTCAGGCCCGTAGCGGACATCCCTGACGGCAGACCTCACGAAGTCCGCCTGGGCCTTCTCAGCCTTCTCTTCGGGGCCTAGAGCGGCCATGAACTTCTCCCAGTGAGCTGTGACCTGGCGCGAGAGGGACCAGATCCAGGCCCAGCCCACCCCAGCTCTCCCTGACCCCGCCGCTAGCCTCATGGCCACAGGTGTCTTAACGTCATCGCCTGTGAGAAGCTTACAAGAATCTCAGCCTCCCATCTGTAGGCGACACAACCTAAGCACCACACACACACCAGAAACAGCCTAGAAGAAGCTACCCTGAAAAGTGTCTCAGCCTCCCAGGCTGTGCCCTGCTTGCACACCTGCAGGGCAGGACCACAGCCGGCCGAGGGTGGCACGTCAGGTCGTGGGGCCAAGAGCCCCGGTCAGTCGCCCTCCCCCTCCCGATGTCCAGCTCCGGCCCTCCCTAACGCCCTTACTTCTCCCAAGCCTGCCACACAAACCTCCCAAGCCCCTCACCCTGTTGGTCAGCTCTCGGTTCAGATTCTCCACCTGAGAGCACGTCGAGGACGCATCCTTGCCATTGACCTTACGGAGCTTGGGCAGGAGAAAGGAGGCTTTCAGGTTGTCGTTGACCTGCGGGGGGGGCGTTGAAGGACGGTGGCTCAGGGCTGCTGAGCCTGAGCCCAACAGAGGGCTGGCCCAGCCTGGCGCTGGTGGGGGACCCCGCTTACTGTCAGGAAGGGGTTGCCCTCCAGGCTCAGCTCCTCGAGCTGCGGGAACTGGCTCAGCGCAGTGATGTCCCCCAGGTGGTTGTTGGCACAGCGGAGGACGCGGAGGTGGGACAGGCCCAGGTTGTCGGGCAGGGTCTCCAGTTGGTTGTTAGAGAGGTCCAGCTCTTGCAGCTGCGTCAGGCGGCACAAAAGCTTGGGGTCCAAGTGCTCCGAGAGCAGCTTCAGCCCTGACAGGCTGGGGTGGGGGCAGAGTGGAAAGGCTCAGGGGGCAGGCAGGCCTCCCATGCCACACCAATCCGCCCAGGCTGCCTGGCAAGGCTCTTTCACCTGACACTTCCCGGGCACGTGCTGCCTCCCTGCCCTGTTTTTGGAGACAGGGTCTTGCTCTGTGGTCCAGGCTGGAGTGCAGTGGCGTGATCATGGCCCACTGCAGCCTCGAACTCCTGGGCTCGAGCTAGCCTCCCACCCCGGCCTCCCAAGTAGCTGGGACCTCAGGCGACTGACACCACGACCAGTTCTCCCCCCGCAAAAGTCTGTTAACGACTTGAGAGCAGGGCCGCGCAGCCCCGCCTCTAGGATGCTCTTCCTGATCCTCTGGGGCTCCTCGAAGCCTCTCGATGCCGCTAACGGTCGCAAAAGGTCGCCCAACGCTCTTTCCGCAAGGCTGTGGCTGCGGCCCTGGCTGCCCAGGCCCTCTCCGGGAGTAAGGCCCCGGGGCCCGGCCGCAGCTCCCAGCCAGCAG